TTAATATGTAATATTTGAACCGTTAACAGAGTATAGTAAAGATTTTAATGTTTTTTTACGGTTTATATACTTTAAATTTAGTTATTTTAGCTTTAATATGTAATATTTGAACCGTTAACAGAGTATAGTAAAGACTTGGTTGGTTTATATTAGTTATTTTAGTCTTAATGTGCATTTAAACCGTAATTTATTTGGTGATAAAAACACATTACAAAACAGTTAACTATACTGTACCCTTTTTAAACGTTTTTAAATGATATAACCGTAATATTTAAACCGTTAACAGAGTATAATAAAGATTTTAAAGGTTTTTTAGGGTTTATATACTTTAGATTTAGTTATTTTAGCCCTTATACACGTTTAAACTGTCATATATTTGGTGATAAAAACACATTTCACAACAGTTAACAGATTAACATACAGTGTTAATGTGCAACATAACGCTGTTAATGCTAACTGTTTATAAAGAGAAAGAAAATGAATCCGCAGCCAGTCTGTGATTAAAAGTCTGCAGATTTATCAATATGGAAAATAATAATCAGATGTGGTGAAATGTTCACAGGGTGGCAGAAATACATGCAGATTTAACTACAATCAATCAAAGCATTAATATTTGCTCAGAAAAGCCTCAAACACATAATTATTGTGGCTTGATTTAATTGATTAACATTAGATATCATATATAAATTATAATACAGCTTATTACTAAGTCTTAAAGGAGGCTTTTTTCACATTTCTGTTTGTTCTGTAGTAATAATGTGTGTGTGTGTGTGTTTGCGTCAGTCAGTGTGTGGTTGGACAGACCGGTTGTCCTACGGTCAGACTCTCTTCATGGTCGGGATGCTGCTGGGATCTCTGGTCGGAGGGGCGCTGTCCGACAGGTAATTACCCACAGTGCTCTGCGACTCTGGCTGCTGTGATGTGCGTCCACACTCCTGCGTATGTTCTGTCTGTTCGTGCAGGTACGGGAAGCGTCCGGTGCTGCTGGTGTGCGTGTGCGTGCACGCCGTGTGCGGCCTCGTGCCCGCCGTCCTCCCTCATCCGATCCTCTTCCTCGCCGTCCGCTGCCTGACGGGCGTCTGCTGCTGCTGCATCAACATCTGCTCCTTCAGTCTGGGTAACAACACACAGCCTTTCCTCCCCTGTTATCAGACCGCACTGTGGGAAACACTGCTGCTGCGGCATCAAACATACTGTAAAACAAATAAAACTCAGTTTGTAGCTTTAATTTAACATAAAATATAGAGTCGTTTTGTCTTTTTAATGTTTCATTGAAGAGTTTTACACTGTAAAACAATGAAATGAGCTATAAATCCAGGTGAA